CCCAGGCCGCCCACCACATGCCCTCCCTGAATTCCTCTGTGGAGTGGAGACAAGTGTGAGTTGGCAGTGGAGTGCTGGGGCTTACTTTCTGGGAGCTTGTGGGGCAGGGGGTGCGCGGGACAGCCACAAAAGGGCCACGTGCATGGGGTGTGCGGGCTGCTGCAGAGAGGGGAGGGCCAAGGGGAGGCACAGGAGAGGAGTCGTCTGCTGTGTCTTGGGGTGGATGGCAATCTTTGGGCTGCCCAGTATGCCATCTGATTGAGTTAGGTCTTGAAGCCCAGGGGCAGGAAAGTGTAGCAGACAGGGGTGGCAGTGACCCAGGGGACATTTGATTGGAAAGTAGCCTGTGAGGACCAATGGGGAATGAGGTCAGGACTGTGTGAAGAGGCTGAGCCTTGTTTAGGGGACACAGGGGGCACTGGAACAGAGAGGGTGAAATTGGGGGTACCCAGATGGCTTCTGTGTCTGTGCCCACTCTGTAGGAGAGATAGGCTCAGCTCAGACGATGGCTGCCCACATGGAGGGACCTGGGGGTGGCCCAGGGTATTTGCACCGGGCTGGCTCAGTCAGTAGAGCATCCGACTCTTGATCTCAGGGTCATGAGTTCAAGTCCCACATTGGATATGGAGCCTAATTTAAAAAAAAAAAAAAATCCATACCATTTCTCGTGCAGCCAGTCATCCCCAATGCTGCATTTTCTATCCCAGGAGTCATTATGAGTATTTTGTACAGTCAGTATTCTTTTAGATTTCCCTGCATATTTACTCTGTCTCATGCATTTCATTTCTTCTGCAATTCCTTCTACATTCCTTCTGCAACTGACTGAAGGAAATGGTTTTCCTTCAGTCAAAAGCACTCCCCTTAGTATTTCTTGACAGATTCCCTGACGGCCAGTTTTGCTAGTTTTTCTTTGAAGGCTTTTTTTTTTTTTTTTTTTTTAAGATTTATTTGTTTATCTGAGAGAGAGAGCACACAAGCACCGAGGAGGGCAGAGGGAGAGGGTAAGAGAATCCCAAGCAGATTTTCCACTGAATATAGAGCCCGATGGTAGGCTCGATCCCACGACCCTGAGATCATGACCTGAGCCGAAGTCAAGAGTCAGATACTTACCCGACTGAGCCACCCAGGTGTCCCCCCCCTTTTTTTTTAAGATTTTATTTATTTATTTGACAGAGAGGGATCACAAGTAGACAGAGAGGCAGGCAGAGAGAGAGAGAAAGAGAGAGAGGGAAGCAGGCTCCCCACTGAGCAGAGAGCCCGACGCGGGACTCGATCCCAGGACCTTGAGATCATGACCTGAGCCGAAGGCAGCGGCTTAACCCACTGAGCCACCCAGGCGCCCCCAGGTGCCCCTTTTTGAAGGCTAGTTTATCTCAATGTATCACTCTGGTGCAGCATTCTCATGACTCCTGGCCTTGGCCATGTATCACTCCATTGTTTTACGGTTTCCATTGTTTCTGTCGAGAAGTCAGCTGTTCGTCTTAGGTTTTCCTTTGAAGGCCACGTGTCTACCTAATTTAAGAATTTATCTTTGGCGTTGAGTAGTTTGATAATGATTTGCCTGACTGAGCTCTTCTTTGGAGTTCCCAGTGTTTCTTTCATCTGTGTGTGGCTCGGCTCGATGTTTTCCACTTATTTTGTGAAATTTTCAGTTATTATCTCTTTAAATATTGCTCCTGGGAGTCTCATTACATGTTATGTTAGCTCTTTCCGCCACGTCCTATGAGTCTCTCCTGTTCTTTTTTGTATTTCCCAACATTTTTTCCTCTATGCCTTGGTCTGGATATTTTCTGACTTACCTTGTGGTTCCCTAATCCCCCCTTTCGTTGTTCTAAGCTCTAGTGGAACCCATTTATTGAGCTCTTTTAGCTTTGGTTAGATTTCCAGTTGTAGAATTCCCATTTGATTAATTTTTACAGTTTCACATTCTCTGCTGCAGTTCTCCGTTGTGTGAGAGGCCTTCCCGAACTTTCATTAATTTCAGTTTTGTATTTCATTTCTAATCATTTTAATGTCTGGATCTTCTTTGGGTGTATCTCTGGCATCTTTATTTATTTATTTTTCTCATGGCTTTGGTAGAATCCTGGATGTTGTGTATGAAAAGTCCTGGGGATAATTTGGGGTTCCGAATCATCTATTTTCTTCCGGAGATGTATTCCAGCTTCTGGCAGGTGGTTTGGTTACGGATGCCCTCACTCACCCTCTCAGGACTTAGGAAGTGGCTTCCTTCCTCGCACTGATGCAGACTTCTGTCTCTTCAGCCCATGGGTTGGCGGGAAGCTCTGCTTGGGGTCTCTGCTTTTTAGCCTCTGCATGTAAGTGGGTGCTTTAAGGGAGAAGAGGTGCCCAGGGTCAGCCTCACCTGTTGCACTGCCCCCCTCTCTGTGATCGCAGCCCCTCTGATCCTGGTTGCCCAGGTACTTGTCCAAGGCTAACAAATGGATTTTTTTTTAAAGATTTTATATATTTATTTGACAGAGAGAGATCACAAGTAGGCAGAGAGAGAAGGGGAAGCAGGCCCCCTGCTGAGCAGCAAGCCTAACGCGGGGCTTGATCCCAGGACTCTGAGATCATGACCTGAGCTGAAGGCAGAGGTTTAACCCACTGAGCCACCCAGGCGCCCCTGTTCTTACTGTTTAAAGATTTTATTTATTTATTTGAAAGAGAGAGCATGAGCAGGGGGAGGGGCAAAGGGAGAGCAGGCTCCCCACTGAGCAAGGAGCCCTATATGGGACTCGATCCCAGGACTCTGGGATCGTGACCTGAGCCGAAGGCAGACGCTTAACAGACCAAGCTACCCAGGTCCCCTGTTGTCAGGTTTTTCAAGTTGTTTGCAGAAGCAGGCGGTTAAACCTTGGTCCCATGTTGGAAAGACCAGGCCCTGAGCAGAATCCATTGCCCCCATGACCTGCCCCTGAGGCTCTTGTCCCATGTCAGTGTAGGCATAGGGGAGGGCTAGTTAGTTGGGGATTAGTGAGAGGCAGTCTCTTCATTAGGTCTCACAGAGTCAAGCAAGGAGGGCTTGGACCTAGCTTGACACAGCTGGGCAGTATCAAGTTTACTATTTACTGATGTGGAAACTGAGGCCCAGATGGGACAGTCCCACAGTGACCGGGACCCATGTGTCCATGACTCCAGGACCCTTACTCAGCTCCAGGGGCGCAGGGGGCAGCAGGAAGCGGGGCTGCTGCAGGACATGGGGGTGCTGGGTGGCCAGTCCCCTGGCCGTGCTGCTCTTTCCTGTTGTGCTGCCTCTCCCTGTCCCCCTGCCATGTCCTCCCTGTTCCAGTGTTTTCTGAAGCCTGAGCAGCGAGGGGGCCGGGGTGTGGGCACTCGCTTTTGCCGTGAGCCCTGGCACAGTTCCCAGTGGCCTCCCCTCTTGCCTGCTGATTTCTCACACAGCCCTGGAGCTGGTTTCTGAGAGTGATAGGGGTTTTCTTTCTCACTAACCCCTGCAGTCTTCTGCCCACACCCAGTTTCTCTTCCGCTTCTCTCCCCACCCTGTTGTGAACGAAAGTACCTGCACCAAATCACTCGCGGCTTTCTCTCCTGGTGCCTCCGTGGCATTTGCCAGTGGGCCCAAGGGAGCCATTAGCAGGTAGAGGACAGGGTGGGTTTCCCCACTCCATAGAGGAGGTGGCCTGTGGGAGTGGGCGGCAGGTTTTCTGCATGCAGGCCGTGCCGGCACTGCCCCTGGGGGCCCTGGCAGAGAAGGGCACTGGTGGGGCTGGTGAATTAGGGGATGATTGGCATCAGAGAACTCCCCAACTCAGACTACTGCCGCTTGCTAAGTGAATGGCCACAGACACCTGCTGCCTCGGCTCTAAAAAAGCTTGCTGCGCAGGGACGTGAGTGGCGTTTTTGCCCGGCATAGGCATAGGTGACGGACGGTGGGAGCCCTCCTGCTGGGGAAACAGGCCCTATCCTGGAGGTCTAGGACTTCAGAGGGGCCGGCAGTCCTTGAGGGGCTCAGAAGAGGTAGTGAGGAAGGAGGACCCCCAGCCCAGGCTTCCCCGGCTGGTGTGTCAGGGTCACTTCTGCTTCCTCACGGCTGAAATGGTCTGGCCCACAGTCTCTGGTTTTTATTAAGCAGCAGCCCCCAGGAACTGCTCTGCCACCCTGTGGGCTTGGCCAGGGCCGCTTCTGCAGGCAAGCCTCTGGGTGGGGGCGTGGGGTGGATGAGCTGCTGAGCCAGGGCGGCAAGTCCGTGGTGTGGCCCACCCTGCCCGAGGGGACTGGCCAGGCAGGCCCACTGTGTGATCCTGGTCCCCCCGTGGCTCCTCTGCCGTCACAGAGCTCTTAGGGTCCTTCCAGGAGCACTTTAAGGAGCTCTTGCGGCCTTGGGGCTGGGCTGTTCTCCTGGCTGTCCTGGTGGGCCTGGCTCTTCAGCCTCACACACCGTTGTTCCTGTCCTCCGCCCTTGCTGCCTGCCCCTAGCACAGGTGCACCCTTGCCACCAAGATCTGAGTTCTGCTCCAGCAGCTCCCGACCTCAGAGGCTCTGAGGAGGAGGCCGGGCTTGGAGAACCCGGTGACCACTTGGTTTTCTCCCTTAGGAGAAACTCAGTCCAGGAGCTCTGGCCCTGACTCCAAGTCAGACGCTGCAGCTACTGCCTTGGGACATCATGGCAGTGGTGCAGCCTCTCGGACTCTCAGGTCCCCTAACTGTCAAATGGAGTTCCTCCGGGACGGGTGGCCCGTGAATGCTCCCCAAGGCTCCTCGGCCCCAGCTCTGGGCAAGGACAGAGTGGCCCGCCCAGCTGCTACCTGGCAGGGGATGGGACCGAGGTTCAGAGAACGGGGGCCTGTCCCCATGAGTCTTCTGTTCCTGTGCTTTCCCTCTTCACCAAGCTGTCTCCCGAGAGACTCCAGCATGTGTGGCTTCCTCACGGTCTGATTCCCGTGAGGAATCTGATTCCTTAGGGTCTGATTCACGACCTTGGAGGTGACCGAGGTGGCCATGCCCTCCGCTGCATCGCCGCCTGTTGTCTGCTCTCATAGGGAACTCAGGCTGCGGAACTATGTCCCCGAGGATGAGGACCTGAAGAGGAGGCGGGTGCCCCCGGCCAAGCCAGTCGCAGGTAGGTGGGCTGCGTCGCTCCACCTCTGCTCTGAGACGCCCCTGGATGCCTCCGCCTCGGCAGGTGTCGTGCTCCCTTGGGAAATAACCGGCAGCGCCAGGGCTGAAGTCGGGCTTCTAGGAGCCTCCGGCCCCATCTCACAGCTGTGGGGCCATAACCCATGTTGAACGACAGCAGAGGCACTCAGGGCACCCGAGGGCCTTCCGGGGACCTGCGAGGGAAGAGGCCACGTCCCCTGGGAGGACCTCTCTGGGCTGAGGGACGGAAGTGGCCCTGGGGCCCTGGGACGGCAAGGGCAGCGGGAAGGGTGGGGCGGGTCCTGTGGGTACCTGGGGGTCCGAGTGAGACCCCGAAGAAGGGCAGGGTGTTCAGACGCTCAGAGGGCTGTGGGCAGACGCCCGCCGGGCGCAGAGAAGGGGAGAGGCGTTCATGCTGGCAGGCGAGGGTCCGGCCCCGAGGCCGCCCTTCTCCCACGGTGTGGGGAGCGGCTCAGTGCCAGGAGCTCGTGGGAGGGCTGCACACTGGAGATGCCGGGCGTCTCCTAGCCTGGGGGTCCCTGGCCCTGTGTTTAGCCTTTGTGTTACCAGTTTTGAATTCTCCAAGTTATAAATGAGTAATTGTTTATCTTGAAAATAGTAAAGTGTTGCCCCTTCAGTCACAGCCCAGTCTGGTTCCCCATGTTCTTTGCCCCGAGATTCACATGCTTTCCAGGTGATTTGCTTCATGGTGTGGGCCGCACTGTTGGGGGGACAGTAAGGCCGGACAAGGGAGGGGGCGGGGAGTGGTCCCATGCCACTGGGTCAGCACCTGTGGCTGGAGGGAAGTAAGGCAGGGCTGAGGGGCCAGAAGGCAGCACGTGGCCACAGTGATGTCGGTCGGAGGAAGCTCCTGGAGCCCAGACTTGTCATTAGCGCTCCTGGTTTCTGTCCCCAGGGGGCAAGGCCCTCCTGGTCTCATCACCTATAGGCCCTGTGCGTGGTCAGCCACGGGGCGTAGCTGGGAGATGCGTGAGGACAGCTGTTCCCCAGGTCACACATATCCAAATGGGATGGGAAGAAAAGACACCTGGGTCCCGGCCAGTCCAGGGCCCAGAGGACACCCTCAGAGCCCAGGAGCCCCTTTAGAGTACGGGAAAGCTGGTCCTCATGGTTCTTCACAAAACCGTCTGTGGAAATATGCAGGCAGTGCTTGCATTTCCCAGCAGGGGAGAGTACCAGCCCAGCATTCTGGCTGGAGGTCTGCCCCGGCTGGAGGTCTGCGCGCTGTCTTTTCTAGCGGTCCAGTTCTGCGGGCCCTCCTTCACCCCAGGATTGCTTTCATCCTGGGAACCCCAAGCTCTTCCTCCAGGGCTGCCTTTGCAGTCTTAGTCTCTGGAGGTTGGGAGCCCCGCAAGAGGGCCAAGAAAGCCCAGGGTCTCCACGGCTGGGTCCCCGCCTGCACCCTCTCCCCCTTCCCCGGGCCGCAGGGTGCGCCCCATCGAATGGCGGCACCTTTCCGACCGGCCTATGTTGTTGTCTTGCACCCTCTAGTGGAAGAGAAGGTGAAGGAGCAACTGGAGGCCGCCAAGCCCGAGCCCATCATTGAGGAAGTGGTGAGCGTCCTGACTTGCTCCGGGAACCCACTGGGGGCCCTCCTCTGCTCCCTCTCCCTGCCCCATGCTCTCCTCTCTTCTGCTTTGTCTGTTCTGTCTTTCCACTTCTGTATTCCCTTTCCACCCCACTTTCCCTGACCCTCTCCTGCCTCCCTCCCTTGTTCCCCGCTTTCTACCTCTGTGCCCTGGGGCTGGGCCTCTCCAGTCCTGACATGTGTCTGCTTCCTCCCCAGGACCTGGCCAACCTCGCGCCCCGGAAGCCTGACTGGTGAGCGCTGCCACGTAGGACTAGCGTAGACTGACTGGCCACTCGTGCTGGGCACGGCCCTCCGGCTGGGCCTCTCCCGCCCTCAAAGCAGGGAGATGGACGGTGTGGACACGCAGCTACATGAGCTAACAACTGCCCGCAGAACCTCCTGGCAGGGCATAAAGGGAGAGTGAGAGGGAGGCCTGTGGGAGCGACACCTGGAGGGCGGGAAGGGGAGAGGGAGCAGCAGCCGTCCCCTCTAGAAGTCCCTTCTGCAAGGGCGAGGATCCGGCCCACCTCAGAGAGTTGCATTTGAGCAAGGCCAGCCATGGCCCTCACGGAGCCACATGATGGAGGCAAGGTGATGGGAAGGGCAGACGTCAATTTCTGTCCCAGTTTGCCACCGCCTGGCCTGTTCTGCTAGGGCCTCAGTTTCCTCTCCTGTGAAAGGGGACTGCGTGTCCTTCCCCAGTGCCCCTGTGACCAGGCTGATACAGAGGGTGAGAGAGGGCTGTGTGGCCTGGGGCTTGTGTTCTGCTTGACTTTGGGCCAGAGTGGCGGGCCGCATCCCTCGCACCCGCGATCCTGTGACAGGCACAGCCCCACTGAAGGTGTTCTCATTTGTTGAAACAAAAGCATGGGGCGTGCGTCCTAGGAATCCCAGAGTGGGGAGAGTAGGCTGTGTGCGTGCTTCTGGAAGCCCCTGCTGGCGAGAGTGAGCATGTGGCTGGGGGAGGAGCAGGACCCACAGTGAGACCAAACTAAGAGGGCCACCCTGAGCAGCCATCCACCCTTGCACACCTTGACTTGGGCCCATGGTCGGTGGGTCTGCAACACCAGCTGCTGCCTCAGCGGGCCAGGGCCTGTTGGCCGATGCCGGGTTTGGGAGAGTGCAGAGAGGGAAGAGGGGAAGGTCCTGGCTGCCTCGCCAGGGTGGTCTCCTCAGGCAGCTGAGTGTGATTCCTACCACCACAGGGGCTTTGGGAGGGGAGGGTCCCAAGGCCACACCAAGCCAGCTCTCACCTTCCGGCCTCCTCGCACCTGCCTGCTACAGGGACCTCAAGAGAGACGTAGCTAAAAAGCTGGAGAAGCTAGAAAAACGGACCCAGAGGGCCATTGCCGAGCTGATCCGTAAGTACAGGGCCTAGCAAGGTGGGGTCCCTGCCCTCTGGGTGGTGGCCCAAGCACAGGGCCCCTCCCCACTGCTTCTGTCTATCATCCATTCAGGTGAGAGGCTAAAAGGCCAGGAGGACAGCCTCGCCTCTGCAGTGGACGCTACGACGGAGCAAGAGGCCTGCGACTCCGACTGAGGCATGCCTTATCCCCCCCACCCCCACCATCATGCCTGTCCTATGGGCGGGTGGCCTTGGGCAAGGGTGGGGGCTGGGCTTGCTGTTACCTCCTATTTGGCTCCAGAACTACACTGCCCCACCAGCCAGAAACCCTTGCCTGGGGTGAGGTCAGCTCCTTGTCTCCTGAGTGGTCCTCACCATGCCGAGAGGGGCAGAGCCAACAGCAACCCCGTGGGCTTGCTGTGTCCGTACATATTTGTGTAATTGGAAGTTTCTTTTATCCCTAGAAATAGAAGCAAGCAGACCCATGTGTGTGGCAGAAACCTATTATATATTTTTGGGGTCCCTGGGGCACTGTGGGTTTGGGCCCCCAGACAGGGCGGCTGTGAGCTGAAGCTTCACACGAGGAAGCCCTGTGTTGGACCAGGCATGTCGAGGCTGGAGGAGTGCAGAAGGCCCAGACCCCACCTTTCGAGTCTGGGTCCTGGTCCAGTCAGGCGGTCATGTTAAAACCTGTGGGTGACAGGGAGAGTCTGAGAGGCTTCTCTAAGCCCTCCCACAGGCCTGGGCCTTGCTGGAACGTCTGGCCAGCCTGGAGAGGCTCCCACTCTGTGTCAGTCCTCTGTGGTTCCCCTCACAGTGTGAGAGAGAAGGGAGAGGCTGGGCACGTGGAGGGGGTATGCTGTGTCCTGGCAAGCCTCCCTCCCAGGTGGAGCCAGATTCAAGGCTCCTGGCACTGTTGTGTCTCACTCCCACAACCCCCAGAGGTTCCTGTTCCTGCGTCACCGTCAGAGCTAGACTGTGGCTTCCCTGGGACGGGGCCCCTGCACCGGGGTGGGGGGTGGCTCCTCGAGACTAGGGTATTAGAGCCTGGTTTTGGGGTGTGGTCTTAGGCCCTAGGTCCCCAAGGTCCTGGCATTGGGACCATGAGCCTCGTCTGTGGACCTGACTATCCGGAGTGACTGGCCACAGCGCTGAGTCCAGGTCCCTGTGGCCAACTAGAGTTTCATCTCCAAAGTGATAACACGCTTGAGTGTTTCCCCTCATGTGTCCCACCCCCACCTGGTGTCATCCCAGTGCATCCTGCCTTCTGCTGAGTTGGAGGAACATTGGCCTGACTCTGGTGGACAGTGCCAAAGACCCAGGTCACAGAGCTGTAGTGAGTACATGTGCCCCAACACCAGCACATTCATACAATGAAGCAGATGCTTTCATCTAAAAACTACCCTGAGAAGGTAACCTGTGCAGGAAGGGAGCAGGTCTGACGGAGGGCCAAAGCAGTAGGTGGCTCGCTGAGCAGCGGGCAGGCCCAGGACTCTGGTTCCCAAGCAAGCCCGGGTCACACCTGCCCATGGGCGGCAAGGCTGGAGCCGGACTCCCTCTGCCTCATGGCATCTGGGACTGGCCTTCCCTTCCTGGGAATAAAAGACGAGAAGGTGCCTCCAGGCCCAGGACTATTGTACAAACAGGGTGCTAGTCTGTGGCAGCTTATGCCTCAGACTCCCGGCGAGGCTCCCACTCTCTTGATGGCGCTGGGGCTAGCATGTGGCCGGCCCCACAGAGTGGGAACCCCGAGAGCTGAGGAAAGGTTTGCTTCTGCGTTTACAGCTCTGTATGACTACAGAAAACCGGCGTGCACGGAAAGGGCAAAACCGACACCATCACGCACGATGGGCGCACGAACAGAAGTTACAGAATATGTGAGGAGACCGGTGCCTTGAAGAAGGGTACCACCCCACCAGGTGGAAGAGTTGATCCCCAAGGAACTGAAACCATGACCTCCTTACAGACTTTAAAATGAACGTTGGTTTTCTCGCCAGAGATAAAAGAGGCACCCAGCTCCCCTAACTCAGGAACTTAGGTAGGAGGAAGATCTGGGTGGTAACCTTGGAAACAAAGAGTGTTTATTAAAATAAGTGACACACACAGACACACACACACCATAAGCAACTCACCGGAGGAGCTAAGTAATAACAATCGGAGGAGGGATTGATCAGTTTAGAGTTAGGCGGAAGCCCTAGAAGGCAGCAGTGAGAGCAGGTAGGTTGGCAAGTGGACATACTGCCAGGTGTCCGTGAGCGGAGGGGAGATCAGGAAAAGAAAACTGGAGAAAGAAGGAATGGCCAACCTCTTCTGTCTCTGGCGTCATGGGACTGCAGTGGCCCGAACTGATCCTCCCTTTGCAAACAGCTAAAAATACTAGGTGAGTAAATAGTGACAACACATTCTTTTAAAGGCCTCAGTGACCAGGCAAGAAAGTAGAAAACACTCAAGCAAGAGGGTAAGAGAAGCAGCGGAATGCTGAAGTCTGACCTCTGACTTGAAGGTATGTGACAAGCGAGGTGAAATAGCATTGGTTTTCGGGGTGCTCGGTGCCTGGGGCCAAGACAACTCACTACCTGTGCATAATGAGGGACCTGGTACGAGAACCTTCCAGAAGGCTGGGGCTGCAAAGGGCAGGGCCCCCTGTGAACTAATAATAGATCCGCTCCCTTGGCATCCCAGAGGAAAACTGAACCTTGGCACTGACTGGAATGAAGAAAGGTCTCCCTTGAGAACTGAGCCGGCCCCACCTGGGTTTGCATGTGAGAAACCTCAAGCCAAGAAACAGATCGATAACCTAAAACGAGAAGCTAAGAGATAGGGAGGATAGAGTGAGAAGAGCTATATAACATGATTAGAGTTCCAGGAGAGAAAAAAGGCAAAAAGGAGGCGGATGTTATATATATGTATATACACGTATATGTATATATATATATATATATTTATATTTATTTTGATGGCTGGAACAACTCTTCAAAATCACCAATCCACAAATTCAAGGAGATCAATCTATCTCAAGCAAGGCAACAAAAGGAAAGCAACACTCGAGAGAAGTTCCATCTCTCGGTATGGATGGTGATTAATTAGGTATAATCACTTTTTGACTATTCAGGGACCCAAATATATTTGTGCATTTTTTGTATGTTTATTACACCTTAGTAAGCAAGTTCACTTAAAACTTTTTCATATCTTAATCATCAATTCCTGCATTCAAATTCCATACAAAACTCAGTGGCTTAAAACAGACCTTTAGTATTGGACCATTTCTGTGGGTCAGGAATGTGGGAATGGCTTACCTGGGCAGTTCTAGTTTGGGGTCTCTGAGATCGTGGTCAAGATGTTCCCAGGGCTGCAGTCATCTGAAAGCTTGGCCAGGGCTGGAGGCTGTGCTTCCGGGATGCTGTTCACCGCCTGGAAGACTCATAGGAGACTGGTGTACACTGAGCCCTTGCCACATGGCTCTCTCCATAAGGCTTTTTTGTGTTTGTGTGTGTGCGTGCGCGTGTGTGCGCACGCATACTGTGGCAGCCGGCTTTCCCCAGAATGATCAAGACAAGACAGAAAGTATGGGGAAACTAGGGCCTTTTTATGACCTGGGCTTGGAAATGATACTCTGCCATGTTATATTGTTAGAAGCAAGTCACTATGTCCAGTGACTTGGGAAATAAGTCCAGCCTACACTCAAAGGAGAATTAGGTTCTACATCGGGAAGGGAGGTTAAGAATTTGTGGGCATATTTCAAAACCGCTGCATACCTAGAGAGTTAAGTGCAATAAGTTGGCAGAACAAAAAGAGCAAGAAAAGATGTTAAAATTAGAAAAGATAACATTACCCTTTAAGGAGCAAGATAGCAGATGTCTCAGCCGCAGTCGGTGGTAACTAGAGGGATACCTGCCTGTATCAGCGTTAACTAGACGAAAGGAAGTTGTCAACCTACAATTCTATACCCAGAGAAAATACCTTACAAGGTATTTTTAGACAAGCAAACCCAGAGATTTTGTCACCAGCAGACTCACATGGAAAGAAAGTCTGTTTTGGGGGGTAATGAAAATACTGCACAATGGATTGTGGGTGGTTTCACAAATCAATGGATATGCTAAAAGCTGTTGAATTTGTACACTTCCAGTGGGCAAAGTGTAAGCAAAGTATATTCTCACTAAAGCTGTTCTTAAAAAATGAAATAAATAAGTATTCTTTTTTTATTTTAATTTTTATTCTTTTTTAATTTATTTATTTGACAGAGATTATAAGCAGGCAGAGAGAGAGGGGAAAGCAGGCTCCCCGCTGAGCAGAGAGCCCGATGTGGGGCTCGACCCTGGGATCATGACCCGAGCCGAAGGCAGAGACTCAACCCACTGAGCCACCCAGGCGCCCCAGCATTCTCCTTTAAAAAAAATTTTTTTTTTCTATAGGATGTCTTCAGATTGGAGTGAGACACGATCCCAGATGGAAAATCTGTTATAAGTAGGAATGAAGAGAAATAAAGTGGAAATCTAAATAGGTATCAACCTTAGGAAATGAGAATGTTCTATGGGGTGAAAGTAAGATGAAAGTAAGACCAGGGCTACTAGAGTATGTGACAGTAGTGGTATTTACACACTCCTGCCCGAGGTGAGACGTGGTGGGGATTATAACCCTCTACGGAGCTCAGCTCACTTGGGAAGAGAGAAGAGACTCCATGTAGACCCTAGACTCTGCTCTACAGGCAGGCGGACATTTCTAGGATCGCCCTAATAGAATAGAAATGGTGTACCACTTCCAAAGCAGTTAAGGAAAAAAAGAAAAAAGAAAGAAAGAAAGAAAGAGAAAGGGATAAAGGAAGATAGATTACCCAAAAGAAGTTCAAGAGAGAAAAAGAGAAAAACATAGGACAAGTAAATGAATCCAAGTACATCATTAATTATAGTCAACGGATCAAACCACTTTAAAAAAAAAAGTCTGATGCTATTTTTATATATTTATTTGTAAAAATTTTATTTGACAGAGACAGTGAGAGGGAACACAAGTGGGAGGGTGGGGGAGCGAGAAGTAGACTCCCCACAGAGAGGGGAGCTCGATCCCAGAACCCCAGGATCATGACCTGAGCCAAAGGCAGACACTTAATGACAGAGCCACCCAGGCACCCGTCACCCACATACTTTTTAATTTTTTTAAATTTTAATTTATGTGGGGCACCTGGGTGGCTCAGTGGGTTAAGCCTCTGCCTTCAGCTCAGGTCATGATCTCAGGGTCCTGGGATTGAGCCCCATATCGGGCTTCCTGACCAGCGAGGAGCCTGCTTTCCCCCTCTCTCTGTCCACCTCTCTTCCTAATTGTAATCCCTCCTGCTGTCAAATAACTAAATATATTAAAAAAAAATTTTAATTTATGTGACAGAGATCACAAGTAGGCAGAGGCAGACAGGGGTTGGGGGGGTAGGGAGCTGGTAAGCAGGCTCCCTGCTGAGCAGAGAGCCCCATATGGGGCTCAGTCCCAGGACCCTGAGAT